ATTTTAATTTTATTTCAATTGCCCCGAATTTATTCAACTGGAATTCCCATCACTAAAATGTATCCAGAGATGAGATAAGAGATGGCCCAGGCAACTTTTGCTGCATCACTAACAATTTGAAGGTGATGCTGTACCAATACTCAGCCATGTGACTGACAAAGGACAAAAAACCATCTGGTAGGGGACAATGATATAGTAATGTGGTTTGTCAAGGAGTCCATGTTCCATTGTGACTGAATATGGGTTGCTATAGTTTAACAGGTTTGATTGTAAAATATGTTGATGTATGGTGTTTTAAAATCCATTGTGTGCCCCTTTTAAATTTGGAGCACCTGCCCCTGTAAAGGTCTCTGCTCCGCCCTGCCTTTCTGTCAATTGCATGTGAGGTTGTGTCTCTTAAATTGGTTTGATCTGTCAAAGCTAGGGCTGCAATTAATCTAAATATTATCAAAATCACAGTATGGCCAAGTGCAATATCCAAATCTTAGAAACTGCAAATATTTTAATAAAAGGTAAAATGTGTGATAAAACCGCATTATACTGACATACTGTAGCTCTGTAGAGATACCCTGGCCTACAAATCTTGTTCTTACAAGTACAGACACCAACAAATTTCACAATTTCAATAAGTTTTTCAGTTAAGATTTAAGTTTGAATGCAAAAATGTTCACTGCCACACTAATTATCAATCATATTACAATCATCATATTACAATCGCAATATCTGCAACAACAACAACAAAAAAACAAAAAATAAAACACATCATGCAGTCCTTAACCTGAGTTTTTAACAATAGACCAACCAAAGTTCATTAAAAACTAACTGTGTACGGTGACAATACACAATCAATGTCCAGGAAACACATCCTGTTATATAACTTCACTTATACTAAAGATAAAATACCCACATGCACCATGAGGGGACATTTAACCACCAGGGACTACAAGCAAGACACAGACAGAGAGTATCTAACTCACCTTACATAATGTCAAACCTCCACCCTCTCGCTTCCTCCTTGGAGATAAAGTATCCATATCACATTCCTATAATGTCCCACTGCACTTGTTGCTTTGATGGCCATTGTTAAATTGTTCACAGAACTCCTCCATAGCTTTCCATTCCTTCCATTGCTGCAAGCTAACCACTCTCAAAATTTGCTGCTTTTTTTATTAGAAACACTGGAAAACTACCTGGTAGCAAACTGTCTTTTGTTTTATTTAAATGATGTTGTTGTTGACTTTCTGTTGTTTATTGCATTCACTTTTTTTCCCCAGAGTTGTCTCACAGCTGCCCTTACATTTAATTTGTGTTTGCTTCCTTTAGACTTTGGTAAAGGTGTAATGCCATCTTTGAGCACACAGACCGACTGATATTCAGCAGCCATTACAACCCAGAGGGGAGCTGTTTCACTCATTTGATTAAACTCCGGACTGCAACAGCGACATAAGAAGTTTATGTTTTGTAACAGAGAAAAACTATTAAATCTTTTTTATTAAAATGACAGTGAGGAAGTCCTGGATTGCTCTTGGTTCTGAGAGAAAAAGTGCAATTCCTTAAGGGAACCACAGGGGGATCCAGAGCTTTTGGCACAACTTGTTATACGGACGAGAGTCGGTGGGGGGAGACAAACACAACTTTAGATCCTCTCAACCAAACTGTCAGAGAAGGCTTTCAACCTGTAACTGCAGTCCTGTCAACAACAGTAAATAAATACATTTTGGGAGTTAGTTGGTGGGACAGTAGGAAGCATTGCAAGAAAAATAATAAGTCTGACATTTGTGTTGGGGTTTTTAGTGTTGTTGTTTTGTTGTTGTTGTTTTTTTGCTGTTTTGTTGTTAATATACAAAAGTTTTTTAGCTCAAAGTAATGCTTGAACTTAACTTTTTTTTATCACTCTGCCTTATACACTCCTGTGATGGTGGTTGCACAAACATTTTGGATCCACAGCTCACAAGCCTCCTGATAACCACAGTGATTTAAAAAAAAAAACACACTAACTTAACAAGCTAATATGAGTAATGTATACATAAGCCTTGACATGTATACCTAAGGTGTATTATATGCATGTATAATTAATCACTCCTTTTCCCTTATGCCCCTTATAAAGTTCATCTGTATGCCCAGACTGTGGAAAACTGTACTTACTGATCTCTAATATTATGAAGAAAACCACTGAACCTAGCATTGAGTTTAGTCCTGCATCTTCTGTCTTATGTTCCATCAACTCTCCTTTATCCATGCACCCTCATTGGCCCTATTTGTGTGCTCGCAAGTGATCTTGTTTATTGCTTCCCAGGATCTGCTTTCATGTCACCAGCCTAATCCTCTGGCTGCCTCGCTCAGTGTTAACAGGGGAAGGTGAAGAATGAAAGATCCAGAGCAGCTGAAGGTATGGTAGAGTTTGAATGCTTCACATGACATTGATGGATTAATGTTCCTATGCTGTAAGCTTGTATTTATAAATCATGACTTATTGCCTGAGGACAACACAAAGCAATGCATCTTTTAGAAAAAAAAATCATGTCTTCTTTTAAGAATATTTAGTGTGACAAGTTGACTGGCTGTTAATCAATATGAAGCTTGTTCTGTTTTTTTAACTCTCTTTTCATAAACACATTAGCTTCTGAAAGCGCAGATATAGATATACTTACTTTCTCCTCTGGTGGGTTTTAATATATTTGGGATGTTGCAATTGGAGTGGCCAACTGTCCCTGCACTGCTGACAGCCTAAAGCAGTGACAGTCAACTTTAGGCCCCTTCAACCATTTTAAAATTCACAATGAAAATTATTCAATTCACACTGGGAATTAGTAAATGTTCAATTATGTCCCTTTGGCTGTCAGTTGGGAAATTTCATGTTAGCCTCTCAGCGATCTATGTAGTGCACTGAAACGGCAACATTTCACATGTCACATGGTTCACATACACCTGGCCTGTGCAGGGCTGCAGTGACTGAATTTGCCTCTTGTCAAGTGAGGACAGTAAACGTTGAAAGGTTAACAATGAAAAATTGACAGATGAATTTGTCTTGATTTTGCCACTTCATACCAATCCTAAAGCACTGTGTGTAATTTGCCAAATGACAACTGCAAGGTTGCAAATATCAGAGCAGTCAAAACACGGTAGCTCCAGCACTGTTTTCCCGCCTGGTATCACCGCAACAAAAGAGAAGATTACGACTTTGAAGTTGTCTTATTATGCCACATCAAATATAATCATTTTAGACCTATCTCTATATGACCAAGTACCCTAATTTTTTTGTGCATGTGCTGCTGATTTGTATCCATATGTATTGTATACAAAAGTTAACTGAGAGTGAAATTGATTGCAATGAAGTTCAATGAACTACACAAGTTTAATGTGAGGTGTAAATAAAATAATTTTTTTGTGGGGAGGGGCTTTATTAGATAGGTCACTTTATTAGATAGGTCACTTTATTAGATAGGACAGCTGAAGAAAAACAAGAAAGGGAGAGAGAGGGGATGACACGCAGCAAAGGGCACTGCAGCAAGGACTCAGCCTTGGTACATACATAATTTGTCACTACCTTAATTAATGTTTAAATTAAAACTGATTTCATGGGGCGCCCTGGAAGCTCACCTGATAGAGCTGCAACCCCATGAAATTATAATTATATAAATCATTTAATTTAAACATTAGGTAGTGACAGATTACAGTGCTATGACTCAAAAAGTAAGCAACTATACATTTATTTTATATCTTATATCCTTACCATTAACTTGAGAGTTAAATAAAACAGTACAAGACAGCTGGCATTTTCCTCTTCTGTGGCTAAAGGATTAACTATAGTTCCCAACTTTTAACTTGGTGATATTTAATGTGTGGGAGTAAAACTTTAAAATGTATTTTATTCAAATAAAGTCACACAAAATACTATTATTGATTTACAAAATGCAGAATATAATGGAATATACCAGAATATACAATCCACAATGCTACAATATACATATATATGACACCTCTAAACAGTATTTGACATTCAGTTTTGACAAAATGAAAACACAAACACAAATAGCAGCTTCTTGATAAATACGTAGTTCTATAAAGATTTTGATTTTGAATAGTCCTGGTTTTCTTTTATCTTTTTGCATTATACCAAAATATGCATTGCAGATTAATATATTTTTAGCTTAAATTATGTATTGAAAATGAAATTTAAATGGAAATGTAAGAAAATAGAAATGGAGGAGACGTACTCTTTACTTTACTCCTCTTGTTTAACTAAGGAACATGATGACTTTTGTCCAACCCAGAAACCTGCCAACATCCTCCCCTTAAAGGAGTTCTTAATCTGCTGTAGCAGCCTGATCTCCTTTGTTCCTTCACTCGCCTCTCCTTCCTTCACTTCTTCAACTGCATAGAAACTGATGATACCAGCTGGATGGTCAAGGTATACCCCGATGGTGGTGCATTTTGGAATTTCCCAGATTTCTGTGTTAATGCCGTTGAACCACAACTGGTAGTGGGACCCACCCCACCCAAGACCCCAGGACTCTTCATTCTCTCCCAGCCCGCAGGGTCCGTCGCTTCCCCTCCTTCCCGCCCCTTCATAGGCTACTCCAACGACCACCCATCCTGAGTATTTCACTTCCCAGTAAGCTCGGAAGCCCAGGATACCTTCTTTGCAAAGGACCTTAAAGAGGAAAAAAGAGGATGAAATTAGTTGAGCACAGTAAAAGTATTTTATGTCTGAATTTGTTATTTAAAACCTACCTGAGGGGCATGCTCATATCTCTCTGGCCGGTCCAGAACAGGACAAGTGACATCATCAGTCATACGCGACACCTTGGATCCAAACTCTGTGATCCACAGCATCTTATTGGCTGTCTTGTCATCCAGGGAAAGGTTGATCCAGTCTGAGTGATGTGGAAGATTTGTAGCCATGACAATCAGAAAAAGAAACTACATATTATGAGAGCGAGATTTTGCAAATTTAAAAGATTGTTCTTACGTTTTAGAAGATCAGCTCTGCATGTGGGCTCAGGGATGTTGGGCTCGTAGTCTGGGATATTTTCTGATGAGAAAAGACACATTATGTAAGACCATAATTAGATGATAGAGTACAGAAAAAGCAGATCCGCCTTAAAAATGCATTTAACCCTTTTAAGAGGTAAGCCTGAGTGTGTTCACAGCTTGCTCTTTAAAACACTGAAAGTAATATTTTTCCATGGTTTACTTTAAAATTGTATCTATTTGAGAAGCTGCTTCTTTAGATTTTGTGTCTGTTAATATAAAACAAGCATGACTGCCAGCAATTCTACTTATTAGAGACTTGTAATTATAATATAATAATAATGTAATTGCATACTAACAATATACAGAAACTGTTCAAACGGTCAAAGTTAAGAACTCTACTCTAATCTCTAAAAAACTCAACAAAAGAGACAGATCTTCATCCAGTGGTATTCATTCTGGCTCAAGAACGAACACAGTGGCACTAACCAATTTGTGCTCCAGTCTAATGAAACCAGAGTACTCTATATTATCATGCATTATCCAAGAGTTCACTCACCAGGTCTGCCGGTTGCAGGCATGATTCTCTTACTGGGAGCACTGGTTGGCATCTTTATCACTTCTTCCCGCCACGTTAAGATTTCCTGAATGTTTGCGTCTGTCAGCGGCGTACTACTGCAATGATGCAAACGGGGACTTTATATACCTCCCAGAAAAGGGGGCATTAAAGGTTTTGGGGGCCCCTGGGGCTCCCTAAGAGAAATTTTGGTAAGGTATGCAGAGATAATGTGCTCACTAATGGGCATGCCACAGAGCCTGCCAAACCGGGATATTCACGTCTGTGCCAACACCTGACCCCCTGACCCATATTTATTTGAGTTTGCTTACACAATTATCCTGTCATCTCTTTGTAATTAAACACACTTCTTGATACCGATACCTGTACAGGAATGCGGTCATCCTGTACAGAACAGAGGGGTTACGTAAGCACTGGAAAAACAGAGCTTAATGGCACTTTGAGACCTTATAGAAATGGGGAGAAACCTGGTTCAGTGGAGCTCATCTCTGGTAATTCTGGGCACGTTTTAAGAACACTTCAAGGTAGAGATATAATAAATGAATGAAAATGTGAGAGATGTATTTTTTCTCTCATTCAAGACTTAGAATTCTGCTATTAACCTGTTTATACATCTGCACATTTTGTGTTTTTCCTCATTAACTGCATTCTGTAAAAGTATAGTTCCACCTTACTGCAAGATATTCAGACCTATAGACTCTCTGAAAGGTTGAAACGGAACTGAAGTCATGACCTTGTCCATCCAGAACAGCCACTGAACAGGGTCATAGCTCAGTCTTTTGGCACAGATCGCATGTCTGTCAGCAGTGTTTTGAAAGCACATGGTGCCTCTGGTTTCTGGGCATCCTATGAGAGGACAGTTAGAGGAACTCAGATAAGTACACATCTATCCCCCACACTCTCCTCTCCTTTATTTACAATAAATCCCATTGGGCAGTCTGGGACAGCTCTGACACTACGGTTCCTGGTATGTAGTGTTTAGTATGTCAGTTGCACTGCAATCAGCGCCCCAGTCAGTCATCTGCTTGGGCAGGCAGGAACACAAGAAGGACGAGACAGCCTTGACTAGAGGTTTGGCATGGTGCCAGAACAGTAAACACTGCAGACACACAGCCGGCGGTGGAGAGCATATCACAAGAAAGGGTTTACGATCAGCCACATGCTTTTTCTTTTAATCCAGGCCGTGAGCATTAAAGCATTCAATTGTATATGGTTGATGTGATAATGCAGGTCAAGAGCATAGCTAAGCCTGGTATGAAGAACTGAGGAACTTTTAATCAAGTGACTCGTCTAAGTATTTAGGTTGTTCGTGTGTATTTATATACATGCATTTAGAGCTTGTATACCCTACGTTCCAAAGTATGGTTATCAGCTGTTACATAATATCATGTATGTAATTGACTTATTAATGCTTATATTCTCATGATAAAAGTCTCCTGTTTGTACTGTGCTTCTTCATCACTAAATTCAAATTCAATGTTGTTCTATAGATGATGCACTGTAAATAATTGACAGTTGGTTCAACTTAAATATATAAGTTTATTTGCTGCCTTACAATATGTGAGTTAATTGAACTTAAGTTAAGTAATTAGTTTAAAGTATTATTTGAGTTGTAAAACTAATTGAGAGTTAACTGAACTTGAAAAAGCACGTCCAATAAGCTTAAGATATTAAGTTAAACCAGACAAGACAAGTTGAGTCAGACACAAACATTACAAACAAATTTTATTCATCAGTTTGATGAATCCGTTATTGTTTTCACACAAAGAACTGCAGCTGCAGCTGCTCCTGTTGAAGCTACTTTGTTCCCGCATTGGCCCAAAGACAATACTTCAAACTGCTTCAAAACAATTTGTACAATTTTTTGTTTAAGTGGATAGGGACTGAATTCACTACTAACCTTCATCATGGTTCTCAATGTTTTCATTATTGTGAAAACAAACAAATGTGACATATCTAGATATATCTATCTAGACATATCTAGATATATTAGTAGCTCAGTGTGTAGGGACTCGTTCAAGTCCACAGACCACAAAATATGGAGGTGTTGACTGGGTAGCTAGAGCAGGGTGCCCAGTTTCACCTCCTCGGCCATTCACCTGTCCGAGGTGCTTCAAGGCAATGTGCAACCTAACCCTGAAACTGCTCATGGGGCGCTGGTAACGCAGCAGCCCCATCACTCCACCATCTCTCCCCTTTGCATGTGCATTAAGTGTGCATTTCTGTGTGTATAAAAGAAAGAGTGAAAAAAACAATTTCCCCCTAGATATCCTAAAGTATATCTTCTTCTTCTTCAACTCATCAAGTCAGGTTAGAGGAAAACATATTTATAAGATCTGAAGATAAAAACAAGAAATGTTAGGTAGAATTAACTCAAACTAAATAAACATGTATATTTACGTTAAGTTAATAAGAAAAGATGAGTTAATTCCACTAAATTTCTGTCTGAATTTTAACAGTGTGCAAATTAGGTAATATATTAATATTATATTATACATATTAATGTGATAGTATCTTAGTATCTATATATGTACAAATAGTGTATTTGAATGTGATCACTGAAGTAATTTACCTACAAAAAATCTTCTTCCCTGATATTTCTATATAATCAAGTTAAACCTATAATAAAAGTTTTTATGGACTTATATTTATACAGCTGTATAAATGAAAACATGACAAAAATAATATTTTGAAATTTTTTTTAGAGGTCTAGGGTGTAACATTTAGAAGGATCTATCACAGAAATGGAATATAATATTCATAGGTATGTTTTTGTTACCTTTATTAATATATATATATATATATATATTCACTTTTTACACATTTAAATTGTGAACTTTGCACCTGTTGCACCTCATACTGCTGTGCAGCTGTATACTCAGAAACGTTTGTGCGTGTGTGTATGCATACACAAATCAACCCGTCCACCATCGATGCATCATAGCTGTCACTGTGCAATGTGGAGAGATCAGTGGTAATGATGTATAGAGAAGGGGGCGGGTTTTACTACAGACATCGAAGCATCTATCCAACCTTTTTAAGGAAAAAAACATACATGCACAGCTCCAATTACAAGTCTCACCCCTCCCTATTGGCAAGTTTTATCACATGCTCATGTCCACGTCACCGGCTAGGATTCCTTCACCCATGTTCTGCATTAAAAGTATATAAGAGTGGCATTAAGCTGTCACACAGTAGAGCCAGCAGAGACTCATCACACTCAGAAAGACCAGTGACATCAGGCTGAGACAGGCTTACTGCTGGTATCAAGATGCCCACCACCACAAGAATCATTTCTGACACCCGGAATTCAGATAAAGGTGAACTTAATTTTCTGCCTTTCACACAACTTAGAATCACTGGTTTAAACACATTTTTCATGCTATATCTAAATAGTTTGAACATATCCACCTACATTTTTGAACAAATTAAAGATTCATCCACTTTTCTGTCAAATTAAACCTTTGACTTGCAGCATTAGTGTGATTTAATACATTTAATGCCGAAATCATTATTAGCAATGCTTTAAATGTACTGCTTTAATAACCTCAGCCTGTGCAGCGGTGAGTTTTTTTTTTCTTATCCTCAGAGGCACATCTTGAATGAGTGGGTCACTAGAGTTTATGTCTGCGTGAAAAGGACAATATTTCACTGGCTGATTTCATGCTTGTCGTTATGAGAGGCGTATAATGGTTTTATTGCCTGGGAGCAAGTGTCTGCCAGTGTCAACATCATCTGCATTATAAAAGATTTAACATGCTGCATGTATTTAACATGCTGTATGTACAGTATAATGTTTGTCCTAACAATAGGTGACACTGAGCGGGACTGTAGTTGGGGTATTCAGTATAATCTAGCCTGAACTCTCTGGCGTCAGCCTCTATAGACTGTGTTATCATGACAACAAGGAGAATAGTAGTAGACTCATGTGGACGCATGATTTGCAGAGTCTTTAGAATAGATCTAATCTATAATGTTAGCTAGCAATCCAGCTTCTTGCCTATAATGAAATAGATTGTAGTATTAATACAAAATGTACTTCCTTACACACTTAAATTTGGCAATATCACAATCAAAATAGATGCAGAGAGGAGTAAATCACCCATAATCAAAAACATAAATTCAAATACCATCACAACTTAACTAACAAGCCCAGTACAGATTGCCAAAGTGGGGTTGAGGCTGCCTCTCAGCTTAAATGTTTTGTATGGTGTCAGATCGTAATGAGAACAGACAAAGCAGTTGTTTTTCACCACCTTGTGCTATATTCAGACAGGTGGCTTAACATTCTCACACGGTCTCTCTCAGCCTCCAGTCAACACAGAGATAAATATCAGCTCATTTAGACGTGACACGAATACTGCGTGGCGCAAAAATAACCGTTAAGTTTGAAAAATTTTGATAATGATGACAAGGAGATTTACATGCACTGGCAGAGTGCAGCCTTACCTTGAACTCTGTAATTCATTTTCTTAAAATGCATTACTGCTTTTACTTTTTTTCTCTTTCTCGACAAGATAAACTAACATTAATATTCTACAGTAAAATGATGTCAATGTGTGAATGATTGATAGTTTATTTTAGAGGCGATGTTGCTTGTTGATATAAATAAAACACGTTGACATCTTAATCCTGAGGGGATTAAGTGTCTCCTCTTCTTGAGCTCCATCCTTAACAAAAAAGATACTGGAGGCTGAATGTTTACACATGATACCGAAGTATTAGTTACAAAATTGGCATTACGGATAAGCATGTTGTGTAACTATAATGTATCAAATATTACTTAAAGGAAAGTTACAATACTGCCACCTGTAATTAAGCTTAATTTGAATCTAATTATTTTCTTTCTGTGTTACTATAAGCTCCTTTTATTAAAGTCCCCTATGTAATTAAGTTTAGGGAAGTACAAGTCAATAATCATAACAAAAGCTCCATTGCAATACAGACACTTTTGACTTGAGTTAAGATTTAAAATGCAATCTATCACTTTTTGGATGACTTTACTTTACCTCAATAAACAAAAGCTGGCTCTACACCCTCAAGTCATCTGATCTGGGGACACAGATCATGTCCCCTCTTCTTATCTGATAAACTGCTCCGAGGTTCACGCTGCGCTCTAGAGTGACCAAAGTATCCTGCAGTATGTGAGGTGTCTTGATCATTCCAACCGCCTGGCATGAATCAACCCCTGGCTCCTGAAAGCATGCTGTTGCTGATGTGATGATCTGACAGAGGCAGATGGTTTTCTAAGTATACTCTGTTTTTGCAGTCACTTCATCATCTGTTGAGACGCACCTGACACATACCGCTGCCTATAGTATATATAACAGCCAAGTACTGTATGTCAGCCTTAATATAGGTTGCTCAGGTGAAAAACATATTTTTGTTTATTCTTTTGCAGCAAAAAAAGCCAAAAATGGAAACACAGGTAAGGCAGTCACCTTATTATGGTCTCTTTGAAATGTCTGAAATGCAGATCAAACATCCATCTATAGCTCCTATCCTTGTCTGATATTTGACTGATGTTGTTTTATCTCTCATTTATTCAGAGAATATCCCGGCCTACGAACCAAATATCCCTGAGCCAAAATGCAGAGCTGATCTCATCAAACGTAAGATTCTTACTATTTAACTTTTTTTTTATCCTTAAAAAATTGTGCCAATTTTTTTTTTCATTGGATTATTATCTCCTTCTGTTTATTCAGACTGGTTTAACCTCTCCCTGGATGACAAGACAGCCAATAAGATGCTGTGGATCACAGAGGGTGGTGCGAAGGTGGCCCGTATGACCGATGATGCCACTTGTCCCGTCTTGGATAGACCAGAGAGATATGAGTATGCTCCACAGGTACAGTATAAAGATGTCATTTGATTATTTTGAATTTGGATGAAATTACAGTGCTTCAAATATATTTTCTCAAGTGCCATGAACTTGTCATCACCATGCCACAGACACTGGAGTTTGATGTGATTGTAAAACACAGGCAGCAGTATTACGAACCAGAGGGCTGTCCCCCTGTGTTTATTTAGATCCTGAGCCAACTGGTTTGGCATTGCACAGCGGAGAAAGCAAAGCTGCTTTAAATTCTCCACAGTGGCAGGCAGCCACAATAAATCACAGGTTATGTAAGATTACCTCTAAATTATGATGTCAATCTCATCCACGCTCCAAAAGGTTCTTTGCAAAGAAGGCATCCTGGGCTTCCGAGGCTACTGGGAGGTAGAGTTTTCAGGATGGGTCGTGGTGGGGGTCGCCTACGAACGAGCAGGAAGGAGGAACAGCGACGGGTCCTGTGGCCTGGGAGAGAACGAGGAGTCCTGGGGTCTTGGGTGGAGTGGTTCCAGCTATAATGCCTGGCACAAAAGCCAGAGTATAGAGATCACAGGGATTCCTAAGTGCTCCAGAATTGGTATATACCTTGACCAGCCTGCTGGTATCCTTAATTTCTATGCTGTGGAGGAGGTGATGGAGGGAGAAGAGAGCACTGGAGGGAAGGAGGTTCAACTTTTGCAGCAGATTAATGGCTCCTTTGAGGAGAAAATCATACCAGGTTTCTGGATAGGGCCACAGTCACACTGTTTGATCATAAAGAATGAGGAATAAAGGACTGAATCAACATTATATTATCATATAAAAATATTTAATCTTTTTGTAATGAAGCTACCGTTATGGCAGCCTTAAACAAAAAATGACTGGACACCAACACAGTCACATATGACTTCCATTGGAACATTTACTAACGACTTAAGCATGCATTAATCCTATGCACATTATATCCCACTTAAAACATAAGTGCACATGATATTCCTTATATACAGTATATGTGAAGCAGATATATAGTACATATGTTAGTACATTTCATTAAAGGGAACAAAGAGCAGTTCAGTTGGGATTCACCTACCCCTGAACCACTCGAGGTCTATACTGATATATTTATATGTATTTTTATTCCTCCATTGTTATTATTTGCTAAGAATGTATTGGGTCACCTACTTTGGTATGAATGTATACAGAATTTGAATATGCAAAAGTTGAAATAAATAATAAAACACTGAGCAACACACATTTTGTCCTGGTTTCTAAATATTAATATAAGAGATTGACAGCAAAAAGTAAAAATGCTGCACAATGAATTTCCTTTATCAGTTTATTGATAATAGAGGAAACAGGTGTTTGTTTGACTTACTGTGGTCTATAAGCTGACAGTTACATTCCCTGGAGCTAGGCTTGTGGCATCATATACCACCTAAATAGTATATGTAATATTGAAATTGACAAAAATGAAGGCAAACACACAATATTTGCACACATGTGAATCCTTTGCATCTATGGAGGTGGAGCAATTGTGGCACAAGTAAAATGTTGCCACATGATTTATGATTACTTTAGTGTTGTTTTTTAAACTTGAACACGTACTTATTTTCTTATTAAACAAATACTGATGTTCTTGACGCAAGACTCTGTAACTCAGGTTTTTAGTCTGGGTGCAGAAATTAAAAATAGATGGATTATATGGGTCATAGATCATCTTCTGCAACTTAGTGTTTTGAGTTTGACTAAGGTGTCTTTGTCTGTGTGATTCTGCTTCCATCTGTACCACTCGTGTTGACAACACTGACAAGACCAGATTCTGAATCTTACTTTCAGTCCTGTTTGCAACCACCTTCTTGCCTTTCTGAACAGACTCCTAAGGTTTCAATGGTGTCAAATGCCTGTGCCAGCCTCACATATATCCATATGTGAAAGTCAAGTGCATACACCCCCTTGACCTCGGCTGAGAAACTGTTCCACCTGTTGACCTCAACAGGTCTTTCACACATTCCTAAAGGCCCCTTGCCTCATTTTGACTGAGGGTATAAAAGCCAAGTGGAAGCCAAAGACTTCGCACCTTTCCTTTGGATGAATCAAAGAATTTTAAAGCCTGTGCTCGTGGATAATTAACACACAGCCTCAAGATGCCAGCTAGACCCAATTCTACAATAATCCTCTCAGAGACCAACAAACCAGGTACAACAAGTTCTGTACATTCTATTTACATTAAAAAAGTATAAATTTTAATGTAACAAACGTGTTTCCTCTGAAAAGGGTAATTTATTTATTTTGTTACTGACAGATATGTGCGTCAGCATAGTGTTTAAGCTGTCTATAATTTACTTTACAGTTTGATGCTGAACTTTTCTTATTTAACATTGTTGTCTCTGCCTGCTATTATTTGGATGGTGCTAGCTGTATTTTAAAACACTGCATTTTGGAGTGTGTTTACATGCACTCCAAAAATCCCTCATTATGTGGAATAAGCAAATGATTGCTGTAGTACCAAAGTGAGTGAGAAATTATGTCACATAAGAGTTTTCTATCATTTAAGACCTTAATTACAGTACATGTTTGTTTGACTTTTTCCGTAAAAGATGTACAGTATAATATATTGGAATGAATAACTCAAAAGTATCAAATAAGAATCATAGGGATGATTATACCTTCGGCCATAGCAGGGATACTAATCATTGTGTCATTTGAGGACTTTTAGTCTCACTCACAATTGGTCTCAAAAGTTTATGAACAACTTTTTTATTCTATGTATTATATTCTATTTTATTTTTCTTATTAATGCCATGATAATGCTAAAATTCCTCATCAAGTACAGCGTTTCATGTCAGGGTTTGTTAGTGGGTTGTGATTGTGTGAAACAGGAAACTAACTCTTCACATCCTCACAGTTTAACCTTCGGCCTTAACCTTTTTAGGGAAGAAAGTTAAATCCAACAAGAATGAGACGACAAAACGAGGTAATGGACTCACATGCGTTTGCCTATTCATAATCTTTATGCACTCAGCATAAGTTTGTACATAAGCTGATTTCCTCTCCTTGCAGAAAAAGTTCCCATTTATGTGCCGAACATCCCAGAGCCAACGAGCAGAGCTGAGCTCATGAAGCGTAAGAGCAGATTTTTTCAAATAGTCTAATGTTGCAATATTTTACAGTTTTGAAAAAAACATTGATTTTCTTCTGTAGATTGGATTAACTTGACTTTGGACGATAAGACTGCCAACAAGATGTTGTGGATTTCTGACAGTGGCTCTAAGGTGTGCCGTAGAACTGAGGAGGTTTGTCCTGTCCTGGATAGACCAGAGAGATACGAATATTCTCCACAGGTAAGTCGGAAAATAACACAAATACAGTTACAGGCTATCTGTTAAAGAAACAAATGGTTTTTCACAATTCACATTGCTTCAAAGGTGGTGTGCAAAGAGGCTATCTGGAACATGAGGGCCTACTGGGAGGTGGTGTACTCTGGGTGGGCGGTAATTGGAGCCGCCTATGAAGGAGCAGGACGGAGGGCACATTCTGGGCCAAGTGGTCTTGGAGAAAATGAGGAGTCCTGGGGTCTATGTTGGTCAGGAACGCGTTACCAGATCTGGTTCAATGGTATGAACAAAGACATAAATGACGTCCCGCAATGCTCCACAATTGGAGTTTACATCGACCAGCCTGCAGGGATCATAAGCTTTTATGTTGTTACTGGTGAGGGGGCAGAGCGGGAGGTGCAGCTGTTGCATAAAATTAAGACTTCTATTGAGAAAAATATTCTACCAGGTTTTTGGATGGGGATTCAGTCCTCATGCGAAATACTGAAGAGACTGGAATGAACTGCTAAAGCTAAAACTTATCAAATCTGTGTTGAGAATGCTACAGTCAGGTTTTAATACATTTGTGTTAACTGTGGCTAATATATTCCTGTAACTCTTATTTAATAATGATATTTTCTATCAAATCTGCATCAGTTCTTTTCTGTTTGTGGAGGGCTGTCAGGGCTTGTTAAAAGATATTTTTTCATTTATGTGTACTTTTTTGTCTGATACTCCTTTATTATACTGTATGTTGGTTATATAACATCAGATTGGATATTTATGAACTGATTGAATTGAAATTGAATTGAATTATGATATTTATGAATGTTGAGTGTCTTGTGACTTTATGAAATCTGAAATAAAGAATGTATTACTATAAACCTGCAAAGACTATATTTTATCATATTTTGAGCTTACCTCTGAGGCAAACGTCTGACTTTGTTATACATTTGAAAGCAACAAAAGCCACAGAATTTCATGCACATTTTCTACAGATAACTAATTTAAATTAAATTAGCGCTTGACCTAATTTATGGCTTCTCCTTTTTCTGTCTGCAGTGGTTCTCCTACTGGGGGGCAGGCATAGACCCACTGCAGGGGGGATAATCAAGGGAAAATATGTAATAAAAACTGAATGAGTATCATTTATTGAGGGAAAATAAACAAACAAGAGTTTGCTGATACTATTGTGCTGACCTTTATCTAGCTAAAATTCAACTTGGATATCGTTTTCCCCGATCATTCAATGATCAATCATTGATCAGTCAATGATTAATAAAAATTCATAGTCTTTTTTCTACTTGTGATGCATTGAGAATCTATTAGACTCTAATAGGCGAAAGACTTTCTGTGTTCCTTAGAAATGGTTGCACATACAGTGTAAAATGCTCACAGCATAGGTCCTACAGCTGAGCTTTTGCTGAGTACAGAAGGAGTAAGAGGGTTAAATGGGCTCACTTTGATATGTGAGAGGCTCCAGCTTGAGGATCGCTTTCTTACTGTGACAGGAGGGCCTGAACTTCTGCCGCCTTCACGCGTTAAGTATGAGCTTTACAGGAACTAAAAGTGGGGCACACCGACAAACACAGAATATTCACACTCTTGGAAGCCCAGTGCATCACGCAACCTCATTTAACAAGCGCCACAAATAATCCCAGTGAGCTACCACAACACACACGTCAAGTCATGCCAGTATTTCATAGACTTTAACTGCTCTCATTTCTCTAACATACTGTACAATGAAGGTCATGTTTGGCTAATACTACTGAGTAAAAGGTATACAAACATATATGCAGACATATTAACCCTTATAACCTACACTTCTTCATACAGTAAGAAGGTCAAAAATAATTGGTGTTACCATTATCATTACCATAAATCGAAACATTTATTTTGTGGCTATAATTAATATCTATATAATAACAATGTTTCAAAAGATAATGTGAGATGGATTGCTCATATGAACCTACAGAGATCAACTTTACTCTCTCTTTTTATTTTCTCTTTATTTTCTCTCATATTGACAACACCAGTCACAGCAGGCAGCTCTTTTCAATGAAAAAACTAAAAACCCACTGTATGTTACCTGCTCAGCACCAAATGACAGAGATACATAGTTGATGGCTAGCTGGTGAACACAGTGGAGTGTTTAGCAGCTAAAGAGCCATAAGAGTTGGTAGAGAGCAAACACAGAGCTAAAAGAGAGTTAATACTGAACTTAACATTTGTTGGGTGGGTTGGGTTTAGCTACTGTAAAAAGTAGGATAATTTGATTATATGTAACAGTAGGCTAGATACATTTTCACATACTGTAACTGTAATCAAATTGTAAATCTTTTGTAAAACAGCAATATGCTAATAGAGAAATAACAGTTACATCTAAAATGTTAAGTATACCATAAAATAGTTTCTGTTTAAAATAATGTGTAACTGGTAATGCAACTCAGATTACAGGGAATCACTCTTTCTCGGGCAATAACAAAAACTGAATTTTTATAGAAACTATATAAAATATATAAAATTAGAATGTTTGGAAATCTATTTTTGAGGGGAAAAAACTGTTATATGTAGAATATGTATTTTGGTCACACAAATATTGAAAAAAACAACAACAACAAGAGACCAGATGAGTCATGTTTGACAAATTTTGGCATCAAGGGGTTAAAAAAACTATTTGTGCTAGTTCTGTTGTTGCATGATTGAAATAGTTGTTTAGCATATCTTTTAAAGTTCTGCCATTTTATTGCTGTCCAAACTTATTTAAGGTTAATTTTA